GGAGTCTAAATATCATTCTCCAGTGAAAAGAACCAGAACTTTTGGAGGAATGGGTGATTCTAGAGCTGGGATGCAGAGAATACAAAATGAACCTGGAGCATCTTACAGTGTTATAAAATAAGGAAATGGAGAGGGGAAGATGGGGGTCATGTTAAGTACACAGGAGCTCACTTACATACTGAATGAAGTCCCTAACGAAGGGGGCCTAGGGGCCAAATCGAAACAACTTAGCTAACACAATTAAGTATGATGGGTTTTGTTTGTTTGTTTTTTTGTTTTTGAGACAGAGTCACGCTCTGTCGCCCAGGCTGGAGTGCAGTGGCATAATCTTGGCTCACTGCAATCTCCTCCTCCCAGGTTCAAGCAATTCTTCTACCTCAGCCTCCCGAGTAGCTGAGATTACAGGCGCATGCCACCAAGCCCAGATAATTTTTTTGTATTTTTTAGTAGAGACGGGGTTTCACTATGTTGGCCAGGCTGTTCTCTATGTTGGCCAGGCTATTCTTGAACTCCCTGATCTTGTGATCCACCCCCTTTTGCATCTCAAAGTGCTAGGATTATAGGCGTGAGCCACCGCACCTGGCCAGTATGATGGTTTTTAATTATAACAAAAAGAATTAAATAAACAAATGAAGAAGAAAAAAATCTTCCTCACCGGAGGCATGTGGAGGAAATAGAGCCACCCTGCCTTCATTCCATAGCAGACATCTCCTGATGTCATCCTATGTGACAGGATCTGGGCTGGGGCTGGACTATGACAGGCCCCCTCAGGAGCTCACAGTCTCCTGGCAGGACGGAGGTGACATCATGAGCGTGCAGTTATCTTATATACAGGCACCCACCCACTTCTCCTCTTTCAGCTTCTCTAGTTGAGTGCCATATTTTGCTTTTTCTCGGTACTCTTTTTGTAAATTGAGATATAAATTACATGAAATAAAATGCACCCATTGTAAGTATACAGTTTGATGTGTTTTGACAAATGTAGGTCCCTGTGTAACTGCCACCCTAATCAAAATAAAGAACATTTCTTAGCACTCCAGGAAGCTTTCTCCTGCCCCCACCTCAGGCAACCACCAATCTAATTTCTGTTACTGTAGCTTACTTTCGCTTGTTCTAGAATTTCATAAAAATGAAATCATGCAGTATGTACCTTTTGAGTCTGGCTTCCTTCCCTCAACTTGCTGTGTGAAGAATGCATCCACATTGCTTTGTTTATTAATGGTTCGTTCCTTTTTCTTGCTGAGTAGTATTCCATTGTGTGGATGTACGACAGTTTCTTTATCCCTTCACCTGTTGATGGCCACTTCACCTGTTGATGGACTACTTCACCTGTAGTCCCAGTTACTTGGGAGGCTGAGGCAGGAGAATGGCGTGAACCCGGAAGGTGGAGCTTGCAGTGAGCTGAGATC